CAGAAAGGCCAATATTTCCTTCATTTTATGCCTAAATAGAGTTCCCATGAGTATACCCACCACATTTATTATCTAATCATCTGATTATAAGCACTTAACTTGATTTCATATCTTGGCTATTGTTAATCACACCATGATAATGGGAATGCACATACATTTTGACATTCTGATTTCAGATGTGTTGGACAAACATGTGGTTGAGTGATTGCTGGATCATATGGTAATTCTACTTTTAAATTCTTGAGGAAATTCCATAATGATACTCAATGGCTGCACCAAATTATACTCTCACTAGTAGTATTCAATAATCTCTTGTTTTCAAATCCTCTATGATGCCTGCTATCATTCATCTTTTGGGTGAATGATAACAAGTGTGAAGTGATATCCCATGGTGATTTCAATTTGCATTGCCCTTTTGATCAGTGGAAATAGAAGAAAATAAAAGTGAATGTCTTTGAAGAGTCAGGTTTCCTGTTATCAATAGGAATCTTGACTATATTCTGCATTCTCTCTGCCAGGTTTGAGGCATGGTAATATACATTGCCAATTTTTTTCAGCTGAAAAATTGTATATGGTTACAGGTGATTATGTGCTGTTTTTATGTATGTTAACCCATTGTGTAATGGTCAAATCTGGTGAAACATATCTAAGTCCCAAAACATTGATTTTTTTTGTTGTTGTTGTTGTTGTGAACACATTCAAAATCATTTCTAAATTTTTATGTTATTAGTTAACAATTCAATGTGTGCCATTTTTGCAAATCTATTGAATAAAGTATATATGTAAGGGAGAACTCAGTCTTCCATAACAAGAATCTGATACAATTTCCTTTTTTTTTTTTTTGCAGTTCATATTTATGTCTGTAAGGAGAATGTCCTGTATTTCCTTCCACGCTACTGGTCTGTGGTTCTTATTCCTTTGTGATGTATGTTTTTTGTTAACATGCATAAGAACACAATTCTAATTTTTCTGTTTACTTAATATATGCTTGTATATTAAAAACTACTGGTCTTGACCAAGTTCCTTGGTACATTTGTACTGTCCTCTAATATTTTATCATGTCTAACAAGTCTGCAGTAAAAGTGTTTTCCAAGTTTTCATTAATCTCAGGACTTCACTAAAGATGACATGCTCACAAATTATCTCATTTGATGGTGGACAGGACCCAGGTTTTTGCAGAATGGTAGCCAGAGGACTCCCTTAATTTTAACCACAAGGGACTCTGACGGGGCATCTCGTGGCATAGCAGCTGGCTTCCATCAGTGTGAGCGGGCAGGTGACAGGAAAATAGAACCAGTCCTTTACCCAGACATTGGTCTCTAAGCACCCCAAGATATGGCGATGTCCCTATGCTTTTAAGGAAGGTCCCCCACTCATCAAGATACCAATCTGTCAGAAAAGAATTCCCTTCAACAAAACTGGAAAACAGTCCTATCAACCTCTCTTCTGTAGTAGGAATTTCTACGGATGCAACCATGAACCTACAATGGAAAAGAGTCCCATTGGTTCTCTCCTAGCCACAGGGTCTGACTACAACACCATATTAAGCTTCAGTCATCCTGAGCCCCAAAACATGTGTACATGTTGATTTCTGATTTTCACTCATCAGGAAAGTTATCCTCTCACTCCAGGTGTATTATCTGTAGATTTTACTTGTGTGTGTGTCATCACCTCATGAAATATTTAAGAAAATGTATTCTGACCTGTTTTTATTGAAGTTGATAAAATAAATTCTCATACAACTTTGACAATTATAGTTCTGGGAAATCTTCCACATTTCATCCATCACAGACTCTTATGGCTCATTGTGACAAACGTGTGCATTAATCCTTCTCTGAGCAATATAATGAAGCCATATTACATACCCTAATAAGCTGTATGTGTATGGAAGGAAAGTTTCTATTTACTGTGCATGCATACATATTGAGGTGAATTTGACAGGAACAAAGAATCACAAAAGCTTGAGCATGAAGCTTCATTGCACAGGAGGATGTTTGATGTTGAGACATTTTGGTATATATGAGTGGCAGCAAAAATAATATATAAAATTGCCATCATTCTATAATGAGTAGATAAGATTAGACCCTAGACACTGCACCATAGGATAGTGTACAAACATGTTGAATGAAACCGAGGACAGATATGTTTGTGCAGTAAAATTGGTCAATTATAGTACTTTTCCTAACCTTCCCTCACATAATGAATGTTCTTAATAGAAACAGAGCCAACCTAAATTCTGACATTTTTTGATGTGCATGACAAATGTCTATCATCAGTCTTTTACTCCTTTATTATTTGTAGAATTTTTCAAACCTCACCCTCCATTGTATGATTCTCTGCCTTACAAGTACTGTTTAAGAAGTCTTAGACAGTCAAGATGAAATATACACAAATTTTATATGTAATCCTTAAGAAGTATTAAGAGATCTTCTTAGAAGTTTTCAGTTTCCAGTAAAGAAAAAAGTTACTGGGCATATGAATGTCAATTTCTCTTTTCCTTTTTTTGTATGAGGGTAAATAATTTTTAACAGGCATGTACATTTTGCATTTCACCCTTCAATTCCTTCACCTAAGTACTGTTAAAAGTGGGTATTTTGAGGTCATGATAGTTCCAAAATGTGCCCCAGTCCACTCAGCTAATAAAACTTTTCAGTCGATGCTGAAAATAAATTTTGGCCTTCCAAATCCATATGTTCCATTATTCCTTGGCCTGTAATATGTTGATAATGAGATCTTTGCTTTATTATCTATAAATATGGACTAAATACTATTCTAATCAGCATCCTTGATTTTATCTCCTGATCAACCCTTTCAATTAAGTGCTTTGGTTAGCAGAACCCTATAGATATGGGATTAAACAAAAACATGCTTTGTCTCATGCTGAACATCAGTTTATAAAATCAGGATACTTATGAACTCTGGCAATGCACATATCAACCAAATCCTCTAATGTAATAACAGGAGCTTTCATTGATAGAGAATTATCATTTAGATGGCTCATGACATATTTATGCATAATTCTTGCACAGCTTTGAGAGAAAGCACTGTGGCTGTTGATTAGCTGACAAGGAATCTGAGGCTCAGATAGGAGCTGGGAGTTGCCAAAATTGTTGTGTTTATGAGTCAATATAGGAGAGATGAAGTGTTTACAATGCCTACATTCTTTCTATTATGTTTCTTAATAAAAGAGTTTCATACCAGTTTTAGATGTCTACTGTGAACTTCATAAACTTTTCCCATGAAAGGTGTTACTACATCATGAAATTCTCTGAAATCATTAAATAGTATAGGAAAACCCAAAACATTACCTGCATGACAGGTAATGTCACTTAATAAGTGAGACAATACCTGCATGACAATACCTGCATCACTTATTAAGGTCTTCAGCTACCTATGGCTGGGGTCATAGACCTTGAAAATTAAAAAAGGTAAAATAAGCCAAAGTTTAATTTATTTGCAATGAAATAATTGGCATAGTATTCGTCACTACTAGGGCCACATGGCAACTATAATGTGGCCTTGTTTGGAAGGGGCTTAGAGCTAAGTATTGGCCTTGAGTCTCAGATGAGACTTTGGACTTGGACTTTGGGGCAATGCTGGAACTATTAGGACTGTAGAGATTCTTAGAAATAGACTCAATGTATGTTGCTTTGTGAGATGGGCATGAGCTTTTTGGTGGCTAGAGCAGAATATTATTATTTGGATATGTCATGTCAAAAAGCTCATGTGTGAGGAAATGCAAGAATGTTCATAGGTGAGGTGATTAGATTATGAAAGATGTAGCTAAATTGGTGGACTAATCCACTTGATGGATTAACAGGTAGGATGTGGCTGGAGGAAGTGGGTCACTAGGAACATGATTTTGGTATGCATACTTCATCCCCAATGAGTAGACCTCTCTCTGTTTCCTGGCTGTCATATCCTGAGGTGCTTTCCTCCGCCATGCCCCTTTGCCTCTCCTTGGGTCCAGAGAAATGGAGTCAGCCCATCATGGACTGAAACTCTGAATCCATGAGCCAAAATAAGCTTTTCCTCCTCTAAGTTATTCTTGTCGGTCATGAAAAATTGACTAAAACAATCTTAAAATATAAGATACTTTGCATTAGAACAAAACCAATTTAATAGGAGAATCTTCATGAGATGCTTTGGTGTTCTTTTTCTACATTCGAGTTGAGAGCTATCCACTGCCTTAGATGACTATTGGGCATTTAGAATGACCCGTTAATATTGCCTACTATTTTTGTCAACAATTCTCATTCCACACATGAGGATTAAACCCTGGGCTGTGGGTATGTCATGCGAGCCCTTCTCCACTGAGCTGCTCCCCAGCCCACAGTTGTCTTAGTTTTATGTAGACATATATATATATATCCTTACTGATTCATGTATCTATACATAATTTCCTTTAGACTTACCAAAAATCTACTTAATACTTATTTAACTAGTTCACAATATATAACGTCTATCTCCCCCAAAATGAAGTATTTTAAATAGCCATGTGGATTTAAATCTGTGAAGTATGCACAGCTGCATCAAATTATTTAGCCAATGCTTGGCAAATCCTAAGGGAGGAACAAACATCATTAAATTAGAGAGTGTATGGTGAGAAGATCTTTTCAAAGTCCTTGGGTCTCTTTCCATATCATGCAAATGAAAATTTTCAGAAAATTCGTGCATGTGAGATAGTTATTTGAATCCCAATAATTCATGCAGATTCCATTTTATTATTAATCACAAATTTTGTTTATTGTAATAAGACATATAGAACAAAAATTACCATTTTCACCATTTTATACACACTGTTTGAAATATTAATTACATTCACCTTATTGTGCAGCTATCACCAATACCCATTTTCAGAAATATTCATATTTCCAAACTGAGACTGTACCCATTTTTTAAAACTCCAAATTACTTCCCCCTCCCATAACTACAATGACACTTATACTATGAAACAAGACAAAGTCAGAAAACTACAAAAAAAATGAGAGGAAAGAAGGTGTGATTTACATTCAACATGTTTAGTTTTGTTGACTTTCCCAGCCTCCATTGCAAATGTATGCTACAGGACCTGGGGTTAGATCATCCTGCTGTGTAGCCTCCTCAGGGCACCTTTAATCTCCCTGTTCCTCAGGCTGTAGATGAAGGGGTTCAGCATGGGGGTGACCACAGTGTACATCACTGAGGCCCCTGTACTCTTCTTGGGAGAATGTGATACAGTTGAGCCAAGGTACACACCAAGCCCTGTTCCAGAAAACAGACAGACAACTGACACGTGAGACCCACATGTGGAGAAGGCTATATGCTTTCCACCAGTGGATGGGTTGCTAAGAACTGAGGAAATAATTTTATAGTAAGATAAAAGAATCCCAGAGATGGGAAAGCCCCAAAATACAGCACCGACAAAGTGCATGACTATATCATTAGAAGAGGTACCAGAACAGGCAAGACCAAGTAGTTGAGAAGGGTCACAGAAGAAATTCGCAATTTCCACATCCTTGAAGTAGGTAAATTGTAAGACAATCAAATTGTGCAGCTGGGATTCCAAACGAATAAACAAAAATGTCAACAAAACCAAGAAGCCACAAAGGTGAGGGTTCATAACTACTGGATATTGCAGGGGGTGACAAATGACCACAAAATGGTCATAGGCCATCACAGTAAGTAGCATACTATCCATATTTCCAAAAAGGATGAAAAAAGACATCTGTGTCAGGCAGCCGACATAAGAGATGGCTCCGCCATGAGTTCGAATGTTCACCAGCATCTTTGGGATTGTAGTGGAGATGAAGCAGATGTCAGCCAAGGACAGATTGGAGAGGAAGAAGTACATGAGGTTGTGGAGGTGGGGGTCAGAGCTCACAGCCAGGATGATGAGCAGGTTCCCAAGCACTGTGACCAGGTACATGGACAGGAACAGTCCAAAGAGCAGGGGCTGCAGGTCTGGATCCTCTGAGAGGCTCATGAGATGGAATTCTGATATGGATGTAAAATTTGAGGGTTCTGTATTGCTATTGCTTGAGAATCTGTTAAGATAGAAGAAAATAAAAATTGGGAAACATGAAAAAAGAGAAGAGAAATGGCTCTGGACTAACAAGATTGGTGAGATACCCAGTAGGGGAAGAGGAGCCGCCTTACAGGAATTGCTGCTGGCATATAGAGGGCAGAAGCTCGACTCAGAGGGCACAGCTCCACCTACTGGAAGAGAAGAAAAGAGAACTCTAAGACTTCATTTAACATATTTTTTTCTTTTTTTTTCCATTTTCAATTTTTATTGTTCTTTCCATTCTCCTTTATTTTACCTATTTTTCTCTCCCTCTTTCTCTTTAAGGACTTCTTCCTTCCCCTTCCCCCTAACTTTCACCTAAAGCGTTATGACTTTCATTATGGTAATTTTCTAAATGCAAATAGGTGAATGTTCTGAGGCTGTCTATAGGTCTCCTAAGTACCTAGCTACTACCAAATACCATGATCCATTCACCTGTTAATATCCCCCTTCAGTGGAGCAATCTTCCAAGCAGCCAAGGCATACTAACCTTCATAGCATCATAGCACCCCACCTAAACATAAAGTCCTAAGACCAAACAAAAGATCACTATATGCCTAGAGAATCCATAAGCCTTTTATGAAATGAATGAATCAGCTTTAAATTACAATAAAGCCCAACATATCTAGACATAGTCTCCCACTACGAAGGAGAGACCCCAGAGATATACAAAACCAAAACAAATTTATAGGAGAAAACAGAAACACAACAGTTAAACAGAGTTGGAAAGTAATATGAACACCATGAATAAACAAGGGAAAAAAGGATTACAAACAATGCAGGACAACTTAAATTTACGGGAGAACCTAGAGGCATCAGAAAAATGTACAGAGAAAGAACTCAAGGCATACCTGACTCATATGGAATGGAATATTAAAAAGTCATTAGACAACAAGCCCAAACAACGAAAGAATACTTTGAATATGAATTACATAAACTGATTCAAGAAGCAAAAAATCAACTCTACCAGGAGATAGAGATTTTAAAAAAAAAGCATACAGTAATCCTAGAAATGCAGGAAACCATAAACCAAATCAAAAACTCAAATGAGAATATTACAAATAGATAAGATCAAATAGAAGTCAGAACATCAGATAATGAAGACAAAGTATATCAACTCGAAAAGAGTATAGTCAACACAGAAAGGCTGATAAGAAACCATGAACAAAACATCCAAGAGATATGGGATGTCATAAAGAAACCAAGCTTAAGAGTCATTGGGATAGAAGAAGGTATAGAGGTCCAAACCAAAGGAATGAGCAAACTGTTGGATGAAATAATTTAAGAAAACGTTCCAGACATGAAAGATGGAATGGATTGCCAAATCCTGGAAGCCTACAGGACCCCAAACATACAAAACAGTAGTAGACCAAATCCAAGACACATTATTATGAAGACATCCAACATACAGAACAAGGAGAGAATATTAAAAGCTACAGGAGAAAGGAGGCAGATTACATTCAGGGGTAAACCAATTAGGTTTACAGCTGATTCTTCATCACAGACGTCAAAAGGGAGAAGATCCTGGAACAACGTATTTCAAATGCTGAAAAATAATGGATTCCAACCAACAATATTTTATTCAGCAAAATTAAGCTTCAGGTTTGACAATGAGATTAAAAAATTTCATGATAAAGAAAAGTTAAAAGAATTCGCAGCCAGAAAACCAGCACTGCAAAGCATTTTGAGCAAAACACTACAAGAAGAGAAAATGAAAAACAACACCCAAAACGAACAGTGGGAGGATACTCAGTAAAGGGGGGGGGTCAATAATCAAAGAAGAAAAACAAGCCAAATTAAAGTAAACAAACAAACAAACAAACAAACATGAGTTGAAGTACGAACCATATATCAATAGTAACCCTAAATGTTAATGGCTTAAACTCACCAATCAAGCGACATAGGCTAGTAACTTGGATTAAAAAAACAGATCCTGCAATAAGCTGCATTCAGGAGACTCATATGATAGGAAAAGACATATACAGGCTGAAGGTGAAAGGTTGGGAAAAATCATACCACTCACATGGTCCTCAGAAGCAAGCAGGAGTGGCCATACTCATATCGAATAAGATAAACTTCAAACCTAAGTTAACAAAAAGGATAAAGAAGGACACAATATACTGTTAAAAGGAACCATTTACCAACAAGACATAACAATTATCAATATGTATGTACCAAACAATGGTTCTGCAATGTTCATAAAACAAACTCTCCTCAAGTTAAAGAATCAAATAGACCACAACACAATAATTATGGGTGACTTCAACACACCTCTCTCACCATTGGACAGATCCTCCAAACAAAAGTTGAACAAAGAAACTATAGAACTCAATAACACAATCAATAACCTAGACTTAACCAACATATATAGAATATATCAACCATCATCAAGTGGATATAAATTTTTTTCAGCAGCACATGGATCCTTCTCAAAGATCGACCATATATTATGCTATAGGGCAACCCTTAGGAAATATAAAGGTGTGGAGATAATACCATGCATCTTATCTAATCATAATGGAATGAAACAGGAAATAAATGATAAAAGAAAGAAGTAAAAATCCTGCATCACCTGGAAAATGAACAATATGTTACTGAATGATCAATGGGTTACAAAAAACATCAAGGAGGAAATTAAAAAATTCTTAGAAATAAATGAAAACACAGACACAACATATCAGAATCTATGGAACACAATGAAAGCAATCCTAAGAGGAAAATTTATTGCTTGAAGTTCATTCCTTAAAAAACATACAAAAAACAACAACAACAACAAATAAATGATCTCACACTTCATCTCAAAACCCTAGAAAAAGAAGAGGAAAACAAGAGCAAATGTAGTAGAAGGCAAGAAATAATTTAAATCAGAGCTGAAATCATTAAAATTTAAACAAAAGAAACAATTGAAAAAATTGACAAAACTAAAAGTTGGTTCTTTGAAAAAATAAATAAGATCAACAGACCCTTAGCCATGCTAACGAAGAGAAGAAGGGAGAGAACTCAAATTACTAGCATACGGGATGAAAAATGCAATATCACAACAGCCACTACAGAAATACAGAAGATAATTAGAAATTATTTTGAATACTTATACTCCAATAACATAGAAGATAGTGAAGGCATCCATAAATTTCTTAAGTCGTATGATCAGCCCAGATTGAGTCAATAGGATATATACAACCTAAACAGACTAATATCAATTGAAGAAATAGAAGAATCCATCAAAAGACTACCAACCAAGAAAATCCCAGGACCGGATGGGTATACCGCAGAGTTTTACAAAAACTTTAAAGAAGAATTAATACCAATACTTTTCAAGCTACTTCAGAAAATGAGGCCAACATCACCCTGATTCCTAAACCAGACAAAGACACTTCAAAGAAAGAAAACTACACACTAATATCTCTAATGAACATAGACACAAAAGTCCTCAATAAAATTCTGGCAAATTGGATACAGAAATATAGCAAAAAGATCGTGCATCATGATCAAGTATGATTCATGCCTGGGATGAAAGGCTGTTTCAATATACGAAAATCAATAAATGTTATTCACTACATCAACAGACTTAAAGATAAGAACCATATGAACATCTAAATAGATGCAGAAAAAGCATTTGACAAAGTACAGCATCCCTTTATTTTCAAAACACTAGAAAAACTAGGGATAACAGGAACATACCTCAATATTGTAAAAGCTATCTATGCTAAGCATCAGGCTAGCATCATTCTGAATGGAGAAAAATTGAAGGCAT